CTGTGGCATGATGCCACTTCTGCCAATCTACAGCCAATAGGCTGTGGCTATTAATTTACTCAGACATACATGCGCTAAGTGAGCATTCTGACTCGGAGGCGAATGAGTTGGACCCTGATGTTTGAATATGCAGGAAATAGGCTAGCTTTTAAAAGAAATAGACTTTAATTGTAGTGGCAAATGCCTTTGTCTCTACTTGTAGTAATATTTTTTGGAAGTACACTGAATTCTTGCAAGTAGTGTTCTACTTTGTAGAGTATAGTCAAGTACTGCATATAGTATTTCAGGAAAGGATATTTGACGATAGGGCTGCACGAGTCCAATCTGCCTCAAACTTCACATGTTTGATTAGAGTCCTTGCTAGAAGGCATCTACGTGCTCATATTTGGTTACAGTTATAGCGCCACCTTCTGGCAATAGGAAGTGACATGTTTAACACTGTGATGCACTATTAGCAACACCGTAAAATATGCCATTGTGTGCTAAATATGCTAGAAATATGTTCAAACATGCTAGCAACACTTAGCTAAGTGCTAAAACATGGCCTGAACACATCTAAAATACATTATACAGTTACAATTATAGTGCCACATGCTGGCAACAGGAATTGACTTGTATGTCAGTAATTTAAACATGCAATGTTTTATCTGTCCTAAACTTCACATGTTTGATAAGAGTCTTGGCCTGAAAACATTTACATGCCAATATTCAGTTATAATCATAGTGTCACCTACTGGCAACAGGAAATTACTTGTTTTGCACTAACTTAAACATGCAATGTCTGATCTGCCCTAAACTTCACACGTTTTATAAGAGTCCTGGCCTGAACATACTACATGTCCATATTCAGTAAAAGTCATAGCGCCACCTACTGGCAACAGGAAGTGACATTTTTAATACTGTTATGGACTCCTAGCAACATATTAAAAAGTGTCATCTAGTGTTAATAGGTTAGCAACATACTAGAAATCTGTTAAAACATCCATACAACACCTAACTGACTGCTAAAGCATACTATTAATTCAATAAAACAGGAAAGTGCAATAACTCAGGCATGCAATGTCCAGTCTGCCTTAAACTTAACATGCAACATTCTAAAAACATGGTAAAGCATGCTAGCAACACTTAGCTAATTGATAAAGCTTGTTAATAATACAATGAAAGAGGAAGTTGCTGTAACTAATGCATGCAATATCCAATTTGCCCCAAACTTAACATGTTTGATAAGTAGGTTAGCAACATACTAGAAACATGTTAAAACATCCATACGACACCTAACTGAGTGCTAAAGGATACTATTCATGCCATGAAACAGGAAGTTGCTGTAACAGGAAGTTGCTGTAACTCAAGCATGTAATGTCCAATCTGCCCCAAACTTAACATCCAATGCTAGAAACATGCTAAGACATGCTAGCAACACTCACATAAGTGTTAAAGCATGCTATTAATGCAATTAAAAAGGAATTTGCTCTAACTCAGGCATTCAATGTCAAATCTGCCCCAAACTTAAAATGTTTGATAAGAGTCCTGCCCTGAACACATCTACATGTAATATTTAGTTACAGTCTACAGTCTGGACCTTTAGTAAAGAGTCCAAACATTAGAAAAATGTCAGTCTATACAATCGTTTTATATTTTAGATGAGGACATATACATGCGTTACGAATGTGACAAAAAAAAGTCTCCAAGTTTTAGGTGACAATATATTTTTTAGGAATTCGGTGAATTACACTACACAAACCAAAATAAATACTATCCACCGAATGAAGAAGGGTTGGCTCTCCACAGAACATAAAATATTCATTTTATTTAATTTTTCGTGTTCGCATTTATGAGGAAAAATCAACGTAACGGGTGTGACAGTTCTCCGTTACAGATGTGACCGCTCTGCAAGTGGCACTAAAAGACTGCTTTAAAACTTGCACAGAGACATCAAGTGGGCATTTAAACCACCAAATATTGAAATCTGGGATACCAGTATGGTAAAACTGCACAAATAATCAACTTTATACTAAATTGCTGTATTGCAAATAGTTATGTATTATTTCTCATGTTGTCAAGCATGTGCGTTGTTCAAGAATCAATTTAGAGACCATTATTTTCCTAACAGAACTACTTGTTAAAATACATTAACAAAATATGGTAAAGCTATCGCGGTTGCTACAGTTCTGGCATTCCTCTGCTGTTTGCTCGTCAATAGAGTGGTATTACGATATTGCTGTTATTGTGACAGTCCTAATGTCCATTCTTTCTTAAACTTCCAAAGTTTCATAAAAGTCCAGGCCTGAAGACATGTAGTTGTAATAATAGCGCCACCTGCCACCAACAGGAAATATGTTTTAAACTAACTCTCACATGCAATGTCTAATCTGCACCTATCTTCACGTTTGGTAAGAGTCATGTTTGAAAGCACATGCCAGTATTCAGTTATAGTCATAGCAAAACCTGCTGGCAGCATGAACTGGCATGTTTTACACTAACTCAAACAAACAGTGTTCAATATGTGCCAAACATCATGTTTAATAAGAGTCCTGGCCCTAATGGCATCAGGAATACATGTTTTACACTATAATGCACTCTTAGCAACATTTAAATATGACAGCAAGTGCAGACATGGTAGAAACATATCAACACATGCTAACAACACTTAAGTGCTAAAGCATGCTATTAACTCCATGAAACAATTTTTTTGTAAGTCAAACATAAAATGTAAAATCTGCATCAAATTTAAGAGTCCTCGATCTGATCACATGTACAAGCCAATATTCAGTTAGCATTAGTACCACCTACTTCCAACAGTAACAGACATTTCTTACACTAATCCACTTAAAAGATGACATTTTATCTCATTTATAATGTTCTTGTTATGATGTTCACACAGCATAATTATTAATTATTCAGTATTGGGGATGTGGCAAGATTAGTTGTCTAGTCGAATAAATGTTACTGCTATTAATCTACAATGGAAATACTTGTCGATTACATTCATGTTTTTTACACATTTGTTTTATTTCAAATTATTGTAATGTTAACATTATATTTATGACTTAAGCAGTATTCAGTAAAGAATTTGATGGTTTGATTCATAAATTAAGTATTTCCTACTTATTGCATTTACAATACGTTTTGTCTGTTTTCTAGGATTTTCTCAATTTTAGACTAGTTGGTTACAAATTTACATTTAAATGTAATTGAAATTAGTCATAGCACACATACCTATATAATATATTAAGTGTATTAAGAATTTATGAAATTAATATGCATGCACGCATACAAATAGATGTTTTGTCATATTTTGTAAGTTAATTGAATTATATGACTCCATGTCCTACGTTTAATCATATCCATGATTTACTTTTTTTGTGGGAAAAGTTTTTTACAATTTACAGATGCTATAAATGAACTGAAAATATTTGATTGTATGTAGTTGCCACAACAAGCAAGGGCACCGTAGGGAATCGAACCCCATCCCAGTAAACCAGGAGTACCTTTACCAGTGTCTTTTGCTTTTTGAAACTACATGGATTGTAAAGCAAAACCTGCATTAGCAACAACATAAGAATGGCAGCAACACTCGACCTGAACATTTCTTTAAGATTGAAAATACGGACCAAAGTCAAAAATTTAACAACGCAGTTGATGATCAGTGGTCATTTAAATAACAGTTAAAATGATCAACTTTGTTTTCATCGTAAAACGCATTTTAAAAAATTAAAGAATTCAGAAACACGATTGAATTTGGTGTTAAACCCAATATTTTCAGTTTATGATGCACACAAGAAACAGCACACTAAATTTGAAATGACTTTTTATTTGTAGTTGATTTGTAATTGTTTTTCTATGTGAAATAGCAATTGTCTTGCATCCATGATCATTGTATTGAGTGCCACTACATTTTAGGCATAATCTTATAGGGTATTATCTGTCAATGTTTTTAAAAAGTATATGCTGGCTGTCTGTCATTTTTAACAGATACAACATGATACACAGTTCTAATGTGCTCTTTTTCTGAATGGTGTACACAATGATTGGTGAAGAAACGAAATTAGAGTGAAAACCGCACTTTTGTTGTAAAATAAATACAAAAAATATTTTATGTATTTATCAAATTTGCATAATTTGCATATGTTGATTTTTTTCTAATTGTAGTATAGCCTAGAATTTTAAGTCAAGGTGTCAAATGTCAGTCGCACTGGTGCTAAAGTAAACTAATTTCTGTTTGCCATACAGTAATTTTTACTCTAAAATGTGACTGAATTGAGAGATCAATTATATTTTTACCAATCGAGTATACAATTACTACTGTTTTGAATGAGTGCTAATACAGACAAATATGAATAAATGTAAAAAATATAAATGTTGTTGAAATGCAGGAAAAAAAAACATTATTACCAAACTTACAGTTGTGGTACAAGCATGTAAATTCTTTATCCACTGTCAAATAAATATATTTAATGTAATGACATTAACATTTCTACCTTGCAGTGAAAAAGCACTGCAATACAGCTATATTTGACTCAGCAGAGATAAAGTATCCACACGGATGTGAATTCTCTCCCCACCTCCTTTGCCAAACAAAGCTGGACCGTTAAACCTACAACTGGTCAAGTTCCTACTTATTGTTGTTAAAAGTATTAGATGTAAAAACAAAATACCCTCATGGTCACTGAAGCATGTTGGAAGCACAGTTGATTCGACAATGCAGAATTCACATTAGAAAAGCAGTTTTGAAAAAGTGCTAATATAGATATATGAATAAATGTTGAAAATATAAATGCTGAAATGCAGAAAAAAACTATCATGAAAGTTACAGTTGTATTACAAGGGTGTAAATTCTGTCTCCACTTCCATTGTCAAAAAAGTTTGTTTAAAATAGGCTATGACACTAACATTTCTACCTTGCAATGAAGAAGCACTGCAATACAGCTACATTTGGCTCAGCGGAGATAAAGTATCCACATGGATGTGAATTCTCTCACCACCTCCTTTGCCAAACAAAGCTGAACAGTTAAACCTACAACTGGTCAAATTATTCCTCTTCATTGCTAAAAGTATTAGATGTAAAAGAACATAAAATACCCTCATGGTCACTGAAATATGTTGGAAGCACAGTTGATTCTACATCATAATATGTTGTTTTCACATATACATGATCAATTAATGTTCCCTTTTCTGTTGTGTGACATGTTGAACAAACCCTCTGTCCGTTATAAACTTGCAGATTGTTGAAGACTTTAAAATGTTATCATTGAAATCTCCCATGACAGCAATTGTACTACTTATGGGCTCTAGCCAATCAAGTAATTTGCCCAGATTTTCTTTAAACAAAGACATGGGATAAGATGGTGGCCGATAAATAACGGCTATTAATATATCGTGTATAGTAAAGCGGCAGACTAAACATTCTAAATTGACATTTTGTACCTGGACAACTTTATATGCCAAATTTTCTGAAATATACATGCCAACACCACCATGTTGTTGCGCTTGTATTTCAATTAATGTTGGGTTACTGCTACTGTAAGATAAACTTCGTGAGTGACCATGAAAACTATAACCGTCAATCTTTACGGTTTCAAATGAGATAGCTGCAGGTAACCATGTTTCAGTAACAGCAATGCAGTTAGGCTGCAAATGCTGAGTACACGAAACCAAATCTGCTAAATGTTGGCTTAAATTTTGCACATTCATCAAAAACACACTGAAAGCTTGTGTATTTACTTTGTGGTTTGGTATATTTTTAATAAAAAATCTGGGCATGCTCTGAATTGCATTCTTAATGGTTTCTTTACAGTACACAGCCTTCTCTTCAAAATCCTGAATAATCAAACCTGACAAACTTCGAACACGACTTAATGCCACATATGCCTGTCCAGGTGCAAATATTTTTTTAAGGGACACTACAGCTTCATCAACACTAATTCCTTGCACTTTATGTACTGTACAAGCCCAAGCAAGTTTTAGTGGAAATTGATGTCGTAATCCACCTTTATTATTAACCCTTTCCTCTTCCGGATCAATACCTGTAGAACCCATTACAACAGCTGAAGCACTTGCACAACATTTTCTCCTTTGTGCACCAACCTGATTGTCATCAAATTTAACATACACTGTTTGAGGGAACTTGTTATCATTGTTACGATAAACTATGTCTGTTACTGTGCCACACACCCCATTAACCAGACCATCCATTACATCGACATTTTTACACAACATCACACGAGCACCTTTTCCTAAAAGCAGTATTTCATTCAAACATGTATTATGCGTTTTGGAATGATGACCACTTTTTAATTCAAGTTTCCCTGTCTTGTTATTATTTATAAAATCCTGAGCATCTATATCAAAATATTCAGGACAAGTTTTAAATAGCTGCTGAACATTATGCTCATTTACCTGTTTATTTGTAGGAAATATGTGTAAAACTGAGCTGACTTCACCAGTTTCACATTTTTTCAACAAGTCAATGTCACTGTTTAACATTGGAGTGCCTTTTGTACGAGTTCGTATTCTGTTTAAAAGCTCTGCAAACATATTATCTTTTTGCCTAACTATTGCTTTCAATTCCACAACTGAAAACAGAGTAGACCACAGGTTAATACCGATGTCATCAACATACAAGGGTTTTCCTTTTACTGGAGGCAACTGAAAAAAATCTCCAACAGCAATTACACTCACATTTCCAAAGGGAGAAAAGTCACCAGTTTGTTTAATCTGTCTTAGTCTACCGTGAATATATGCTAAAAGATTGTGATCAACCATGGATATTTCATCAATTATCAAAATCTGCAGGTCACTATATTTAGCACGCAAACAATTGAGCTTTTCCTCACCCAAAGGTGTGTATAGTAAGCGAACATCTATCCCAATGCTAAATGTCTTGTGAATAGTTGCTGCATGCAAATTGTATGCAGCAATCCCTGTAGGAGCAGTTAACAAAACGCAAACATTGTCAGGATGACGACACACTGTTGACAATAATCTCATTGCTTCATATTGAATAGCTTTTATTAAGTGGCTTTTTCCTGTCCCTGCACCACCTGTAATAAATACATGTAACGGATCTGGATTTTTTCCCATAATCTTATCTAAGCACCACTGTCGAATCTGATAAAAAATAGATAACTGTGTATCATTCAAAGATCTAATTAAGGCCAAACCATCACTTCTACACATATTTTTTTTCTTTTCCAAATGTGCAACTTTTTGATTATTTATTGCTAAATCGGGAATGTTTTCCTCATGTTCTTGCACTAGCTGTCTTTTGTCTTTCATTTCCTCTTTGCACAGTAAACGCTCTAACTCTTGCTCTGGGCACAGGTCACACCAGCCATCTTCTATTACACCATCACTTTCAGTTGTATTCTGTATGTTATCTAATTCATCTGCCTCCATTTCAAACTTCTTTCTATTTAAATCAACAACTGACTTGACTGAATGTCTAGATCCATCACTAAATGTCACATGACCATTCTTGTAAAACTGTTCAAATGTTTCACAGTTTGGAGGTTTTAGCTGCACATCAAAACGATATGGCAGAAACAACTGCATAATGCTTTGATAATATGGTTCTGGATTTTTTCCCTCCGAAAAGCGCACATAACAAACTACTGCAGGTTTTGTTCGTGTTCTTTTTGTGATAAAACCACAATTATTGTTTAATTTAAGCTGAGTCAGGGATTTTTCATTTTTACTTAAAACACGATATTCTGATGCAAATGTTGCCATACACATATTGTTCAAATCATTTGGTCTATTCTTATAACGATCTGTAATACTAGTCATCCACATGTCTTCTGTGGTAAGGTCATGTGATGTTGCCTTTTGCCTCAAAACACTTAAAGGAAGACTCATTTTAACTACATTGTCTCCTGTTGGCACAAATGCAACTTTCCTTGAACACTCCTTCAGATGCATATTTGTTAACCTATACACAGATTCTTGAGCACACACATCTCTGTTATGCAAGTAAACACTGCCTAGATTTTTCAATGCATCTTTTGCACTAACATTGTTCTCTTTACGTGCTTCTCTTTGGGCATTACCTAACAACAATCCAATCTCCCTTTCCGACTTTGATATATAAGAAATTATATAGACCACACAAGCATACGCATCAACAACATACTGGATATCTAAGTTTGCATTCCAACATTTTAACAGTGCCTTGCTATATTGATTTACCCAAACCTCATTAACTTGTCTTTTCAACACAACTTGTGTATTTCGACTAAAGCATTTATATGCAGCATCAAAAGTTTCTTGATTTATGCCTAAATGTTTAAACAACTGTTCCACACCATCATAGTTACTGTTCTCATCTGAAAGAGCCTTCTTGATGGCTGACAAAATCTCAACTGCCTGCTCTCTGTTCATTTTAAAATCTGTCTGACCTTTATTTACACATGCACATTCTGTAAAGTTATCAGTCTTATCTACCTGACACTTACACTGTTTTTTTGCATCACTTTTACCATGACCTATAAATGTCCGACCAGATGTTGGCCTGGGAAAATTAAAACGACAAATAGTATTTTTCTTTTTACACGTTTTGGAATGTCGCTTTGAATGCTGCTGCACAGATGTCACAATGTCCAATAATGTGTCATCATGTGATGGTAATTCACATGTTACATATTTATCAATAAATTGAATTACCTCTTCATCTGTGTTTTTATCAATCACTGGAGCATTCTCAATCCAAAACAGGCAATGGACATGAGGTGAAGCACGCTGCTGAAATTCCACACGGTAAAAGTAATCCTTAATTTTACCTATTGGATGAGCTGAAGACATAAGTACTTCCCTTAAAAAACAATGCCACCGAAAATCAAACATTCTTGCTGCAGTGACAGGATTACGACGCAGCAGCTCACACCTGTCTGCCCATTGTAATTCTTCAACCGTCTGTGTTCTTCCTTCCTGTTTCAAAATACTTAAAAGAAGATTTTTCCATCGCATATCAGCGGAAGAAAATGAACAAAACCAAGTAGGGACACCAAGCTGACGAACACAAGCTAAGAGGTCACGTTGTGCTGCTTGCCAAAAAGCTGGAGTACCTCTAATAGGTTTAAGAAAAATTTTACCTATTGGATGGGATGAAGACATAAGTACCTCCCTTAAAAAGCAATGCCACCGAAAATCAAACATTCTTGCTGCAGTGACAGGATTACGACGCAGCAGCTCACACCTGTCTGCCCATTGTAATTCTTCAACCGTCTGTGTTCTTCCTTCCTGTTTCAAAATACTTAAAAGAAGATTTTTCCATCGCATATCAGCAGAAGAAAATGAACAAAACCAAGTAGGGACACCAAGCTGACGAACACAAGCTAGGAGGTCACGTTGTGCTGTCTGCCAAAACGCTGGGGTTCCTCGAATAGGTTTAAGGAAACGATACCCATCATCAAATTCTAACAGTTTCTTTAAAGATTCCTCATTCTTCAGTATATCACCAACTTTTTGAGACATACAACCTCCTTTTCCTTTACGCAAAGCAGTCGATACATTTGACACAACCTGTTCAATTTCAGACATGTACTGAGCAAAAAATATGTATTCTACATTTTGTGCAAACCTACCATCAGCATGTAAAATTCGGTTATTAAAATACCGTGACAATGTCAAACGGTTATCTCGACTTTCATGATATGCATTACATCCCAGTGGAAATAACACTGGAAAGCATTTGGCTTCATTTGCAAGACCAGAAAGCAATTTAACAGGATTATTCCCTTCTGCTGGTGCGAGATTCAATATATCATCAAAATAGTGATCTAGTGCTTCTTGACCAATGTCAACAGGCATGAGACATGTGTCCTGGAACATGCAATGATGCTGTCTATCATGCAGTAGCTCATCTTCACCAACATCTACAGATGCTTCACTACTTTCTGCATGTGTATCACTATCCTTTCCTAAAACCTCCTTATCTTGATCCCTACAAAACCCATTTAGCCAAACTTCATTAAACTCTACATCTTTATAATGCACATTTATTTGTTTCAAACATTTTAAAGCTTGTCTTATGTGCATAGTGTCAACAAACTGATATTTATAATGACCTTTATAAGTTAACTTGCGCTTCAATTTAATAGGCAGCAAAGATCCTTCCATACTAGGAAGAGGCAACAAATTAGAAGTTTGCACAATATTTGCAGGAACACATGTTACAGGCCCATGTACTCCATTTTGCCCCCCTTTAGGTAATGCTAACATCTTCATAAATGGTATATGTAAAGCAATCAAATGTTGTTCTAAGCTATTCAAACATGCCAATTCTGGTGGAATGGGATGAACCCTCAAATTGTTTGTCACACATTCAGGTGGCATTTCACCTTTCTTAATTTTATAATGACACGTGTAACAAATCCATAGCTTGCCCCTAGGACTATCCAGCCACTGACATGGCATTACACAATTCTTATTACATTTGTGCAGATATTCTTCAGTTATACATTTATCTGAAATTGACGCTATTGCTTTTCTGTTATAATAATCTCTATTACAATTTAAAACTTGATGTCGAAACAACAATCGTTGGCAAACACAACAAACAAAATCTGGCCCATTTTTAACTAAATCCAAAAACCGTTGCATTACAAAATCAAACTGTTCTGCTTTTACTTTAATTTCTTGCCTTTTAATTTTCATACCTGCTTTAACGCGCTTCTTATGCTCAGGGCTTCCATGATACTTTCTTGTACTAATGGCCTTTACATTCTGCCTGTGCACCTGATTTAACCTATATTTTCTTTTACTAATTACATTTACCTTAGCCTTATGCAACACATTTTCCTGATACTTCCTTTTGCTCATGTCTTTTACCTTCTCCTTATGCAACACATTTTCCTGATACTTCCTTTTGCTCATGCCCTTTACATTCTCCTTATGCAAAACATTCTCCTGATACTTCCTTTTGCTCATGTCCTTTACATTCTCCTTATGCAAAACATTTTCCTGATACTTCCTTTTGCTCATGGCCTTTACATTCTCCTTATGCAAAACATTCTCCTGATACTTCCTTTTGCTCATGGCCTTTACATTCGCCTTATGCAACAAATTTTCCTGATACTTACTTTTGCTCATGCCCTTTACATTCTCCTTATGCAAAACATTCTCCTGATACTTCCTTTTGCTCATGTCTTTTACTATTACTATTTACTGGCAGATCTTTTGCAGAAGCCAAATCAAGTCCAATTTCAAAAGACTTGTCAGAGTCTTTACTACCCTCTGTAAGAGTTATACACTTTGTATGTTCGGCTTTTTAAATTTTTGATACATCTGGCTGTGAAAAAGAACCATTCTCCAAAGCCAAGTCATTGGTGGCAAAAGGCATGTTAGGGCTTTTACAACTCACAGTTGCTCTTTCACAAGACCTACTTACATGCTGAATTTGTAAAAGCCTTTGTGAATGGCCCAAACAAACGTCATCACTTGGTTTATATGTCATTGCTGAAATGATTCGCAATTGACTGGATTTCACAGTGACACAATAGGACTCAAGTAAAAATGTTTTTATAACATTGCAATGGAAAAAAAAAAACATTTTTTAAAAATGTTTCATTATTTAAAAAAAAAAAAAGAGATAAACATTTATATTTCCCTGAAATATTACTCACTCAAATTGAAACTTTGAGTGAAAACTTCACTCAAATTCTTTAAGCATTCTTACTAACAATTAAAAGTTAGTAAACAAATAATTCAATATGTATCTTCATTGTTTCCCACTTATTTTCAGGGAGCATTATTTAACATAAAATATTGAATACAATTTTTGCATAAAGCCTCTGGAACTTTGACTTTTTCAATAAATGTAATACAAACTTTCCTATTATCCTGTCAAAACACGTGAAAATTGTATAAATTTAAGATACGTGATGTTTATCTCTTACTATGCAATCACTTTTATTTATATATGAAAACGTTTATACACCACACATCAGGGTTTCCCATACATTGGTGCAGATGTTTTTATATCACTGTATTTCTGAAGGAAACCAACTGTATTCAGAAAATGTTCAATGTCATTTTCATTTCTTCTTGCATGTAATGCCTGATAAATCAGCGTTTGTGAGCAGAACGCCGTTACTAGGGAATCCTCGATCTTTACCACTCCAACAGGCTGTAGTCTTATATGCGTTACATCACAACTGTTGCAAATTTTATGACAGCACTAGAAATCTCAAATTCTCACCGCCATTCATACCATTCATAAGGGTTGAGTAACAGCGCTGATTCTGTTCGCGTTTGGCATTTTGAATCGCTTGAACACTTTGAACACTTTTGCAGATGGCGCCGCGAGCTCGCCTGATATGAACCATCAGATCATTTAAGCACGTGTTAAAAACAGCCACAGATGTGCCAATAGCAGATGCCATCCCAAACACATCACGAGTGGCACAATCAACCACCACAAAATAATCTTTGTGATGAATGATGGCACTAACTGCGCTGTGAAGGTTTATCAGACACATTCCATCTCTCAACAAATATTCTTGCAGCTTTTCATACATTACACTCTCCTCTTCTAAGGATCCAAAATCTCTGTACACTGGCAGACCTATTTCTACATTCCATTTCTTTCCAAACACATTGTGCTCTTCAATCAACTTACACAACTCCTTTTTACGGTCTCTTTTCTGGCTTGCCTCACCTACATATGTGGCTAGCTTACTCCCTTCCACACATATGTCATCAACATCGGTGTGTACCCATGTACATACAGGAGCAATGACATGTTTGATTGCTGCTACAACACTACATGCAATCAATGCATTCACATCACAGTTCAGTGGTGCAGCTCGAACATCAGTTCCAGCAACAACAGACAGCTGCAATTTTTCTGAACATATGCATGCATTATCATCACTCTTACGCTTGATGGATCTTGGAGTGCGTCGCATACGAAAGCCCTTCTTCTTCGGCATCTACAATATACAGAAAAAAAAAACAATATGACTCAAGTAAAAATGTTTTTATAACATTGTAATGGAAAAAAAAAACATTTTTTTAAAAAGGTTTCATTATTTAAAAAAAAAAAGATATAAACATTTATATTTCCCTGAAATATTACTCTCAAATTGAAACTTTGAGTGAAAACTTCCCTCAAATTCTTTAAGCATTCTTACTAACAATTAAAAGTTAGTAAACAAATAATTCAATATGTATCTTCATTGTTTCCCACTTATTTTCAGGGAGCATTATTTAACATAAAATATTGAATACAATTTTTGCATAAAGCCTCTGGAACTTTGACTTTTTCAATAAATGTTATACAAACTTTCCTATTATCCTATCAAAACACGTGAAAATTGTATACATTTAAGACACGTGAAGTTTATCTCTTACTATGCAATCACTTTTATTTATATATGAAAATGTTTATACAATACACATCAGGGTTTCCCATACATTGATTTATTTGTGGCAGGCCACCACAATATCAAAACTGACTGCCACAAATAGATTTTCCAAAAGGCTTTGACTTTGTTGCATAAACGTGCACTGCACGTTTAAAAACTAAAAACTGGCGCAGGTGTTTTTATATCACTGTATTTCTGAAGGAAACCAACTGTATTCAGAAAATTTTCAATGTCATTTTCATTTCTTCTTGCATGTAATGTCTGATAAAGCAGCGTTTGTGAGCAGAACGCTGCTTTGTGTACAGCCGTTACCAGGGAATCCTCGATCTTTATCACTCCAACAGCGCCTCCTGCTGGCAAAAAAATGAATTTTCATATGTATATCTGGTGGAAATAAAGCTTTGCTGTTTGGTCCCTCTGTCAGTTCATCTAATGCATGTAGTGCCTCTGATAAGCACAGTATTTTAAGCTGGTGCACCGCTAGTGTAACTTTGTTTTTGTTTTGCGCAAGCTGCAACAGTTCCGTTCCATGTAACAGAAACATTCAGTTTAGTGGAACTTTTACGCTTAATTAAGTGTGATGTTTTAAAGCGTGGTTAATCGCGAAACCGGTTAATCACTGCATACCTAGTTACGCCTTCTTTCTTTGCATGAACATTTGGGCAGTGTTATGCAAATCTTCCCACATAGTGAGGTAGATATGTGGGGGCGTGTTAGAACGAGCCGTTTTAGGTAGGTGTGGTTGACTCTTAACTTTGATAAAGAATATCTCTTTGGATTTGAGGCTTTAGTGTTTGCAACTTTACAGATCTTCTTTATGCACCAAGAGCTTGTAACACTCCAAAGAGAAAGGAAAAATGAAATTGCATCACATGACTCCTTTAATATATTATAAAATGTTATGTTATTCATGTGATGCAAAGCTAAATTTTCTTCAGCATTACTCCAGTTTTCAGTGTCGCATGATCTTTTACAAATCATTACAATTTATTTGACTCAAACATTTCTGATTATTATCAATGTTGAAAACAATTTTGCTGCTTCATAAATTTGTTAATGCATTTATTAAATAGAAAACTTTCATGCGTGATGAATAAAATTATTAATGTATCTCTCTTTTTTAAATCTTATACAAATGTTTGAGTGGTATCATTGTTTCCACAAAAATATTAAGCAGCAAAACTGTTTTTAACATTGATAATAATCAAATGTTTATTGACCATAAAATCTAAATGATTTCTGAAGGATTATGTGACAGCGAAACTTCTCTTTGTAAACAACAACAGATTTATAAACGTTTCTAATGACGAATGTTGCATTCCCAAATGCAAATTAAATAAAGCGGCTCAAACCAAGACGCTCTGAGCTGCAGAAAAAGACACCAGCAGTGACATTTTAAAAAGCGCTCTGGACTTCTTTGAAAACACGGTTTACTCCATAGGATTCTAATGTAAAACAGACGCTGGCAGCTTCAAAAAAGACACCAAGTGTAAACATAGCCTAAGAAACTAAAAACAACACTGTAACAGCAGACATGTAATATACATATAATAGGCTGTAGTCTTATATGCGTTACATCACAACTGTTGCAAATTTTATGACAGCACTAGAAATCTCAAATTCTCACCGCCATTCATAAAAAGTCACCCGGGTTGAGTAACAGCGCTGATTCTGCTCGCGTTTGGCATTTTGAATCACTTGAACACTTTTAACTGTCCTGCAGATGGCGCTGCGAGCTCGTGCAGCGCCCTCAGGACCATTCCGTCCATTATGTTTTAGAAAACAATCTTTTCGCAGTTTATTTAGGTAATAGCTTAAGGCCAGTTACACGATTTCAGTTATCATGCAGTAACCAACCGGGCCATTGTAATATATTTTGCTGTCAAGCAAAAAATAAACTCATGACTAACAGGGAAACCGCTTAGCACATACTCATAACCTCAATCACAAAAAACCCTCATAACTTATGCCCTCCACACATATAAACGCCAGAATCCTTAAAAACAAAAAAAAAAACTATCAAAAACAGATCGTGAAGAAATAGCAGATCTGACGTCAATTCAAATCACATACTGTAACGCCTTAGCAGTTATTTTATCTCCTAATAACACTTTAATTAATACTCAATATTACAAACTCGTTAGAATTTAGCAAAAGAAAACCACATGAAGCTCTACCTCAACAACCTACGAAGCATCAATCAAAATAATCTATTTAATCATCAAAACTCACCGTGTCCTTTGTCGTTGTTCTTCTTCTTGATCTCCTCCTTAACGTTAAATACTTGGAAATGAGCCGTGAAATATCAGAAGTATCTCCAGTTGTGTCTCTCTGAATTTGCTGGAAGCAAAAGGGAACATACAGCTAACAGCAATTGGTTTTTACCCCATAGTAAGGAGCGTCTTTAATTTAAATTAAGCCAATTAGACACGCCATAAAGAAAGGAAGGGGGGACATGATGGGAATCCCGGCTCTTTTTAGGGAACCGGATCATTTGGCTCTGCTCAGTAATAAGATCCGACTCTTTCATCTCCCAAACGGCCTTCATTAGTACCTCTTCTAGCTTTTTTAATTCAGTTTAATTTAGTAATGTTTGGCCTGTGATCACATAAATTATTCAATGTAATTAGGCTATAAACCTTAATTTTTTTACATGTTAATTAAAAAACAGCTAATGTAAAACCAAACAGTACAGCTTTTTAAATATCTGAAAGTACACTCTTAATATCAGTCCGTCAAGCATTATAATATAATAATCAAGTATTATTTAATAATAGAAGTTTAGTAATTAGGATTAAAACTTGGTAACAATGAACTTAGGACTGGTGCTTTTTTTGGTCATTCAGTGTTCCTGTAAAAATAAAAAACGGAACAATAATACTGATAAGATATTATTATTATTATACGAATTCTACTAATAAGAACAATATAAAAACGCACTAAGGATTAATGAGCTACTGGATTCATGACTCGAACTGATTCGCTAAAATCTAAACGGGGATGATAATACGTGAGCACCAGCCAATGAGATTGTCGTTTGCACATTAGTTCCGCCTACTACAGGAAAACCCGGCAGTTCTTAAAAGCTGAAGAATTCTAAAGGAACTGTTATTTTTACAGGAAAATACAACAAAATATATCGTTAACATGTAGCGCATCAATTCTGCATGTTATGTAAGACTCTCGCTCGCTCCTTCTCTTTGCGCGTGTGAGAGAAAGCGACGGCGAGTCGTGCGCCTTCACACTAGAGTTTACGTTAAGTGAAAATATATCTGTGCTAATCATATACTCAGCCTCCAACTCACACACTGTCAAGTAAAATCGGAGAATTTATTAGCCATTGGCTAATATTACACATCATTTAGTCGCATATGCGTGTGATTTACTCGCAATGTAACGTTAGAGGGTTATATTGTATATTGTTTATTGCGCTAAGTCCCAAACTGCCCAGTCTAGTAAGGACGCGAAATAAATCTATAATGGGTCACGAACACTCGCATTTGTAAACCTTTATTTTTTGCATGATGCTCTATGCACACTTGTATGTAAGTAGTGTAAGTAAACTGGTCAGCGCAAGATTCTCAGCTGTGGCATGCATAAACCTATTCATTTGTATTTCAAACATTATTTTTAAACAAGCAATAAAACAAATAAAAGCCACATTTTATAATAAGCCACTCACAGCATGACAAAGATCTTGCCATTTAATTTGATACCTATCCAAAACAACCTTACAACATTTGCTGTCCCACTATCACACAATTGACCCAAAATTAAGACTTCATAACAATCCCAACTTGAATACCTCTAAGTGACCAAAACTTTAACCAGGAATGCTGCATTCCCCCACCCTCCCACCAAAAACTGAGAAATTGTATGCACATTTCCAAACATATTATACATGACATTATACAATAAACTAATATATGACCTTTTCAAAGAAACTACTAAATTACACTTACCTTATGATACATAACATTCAAGAAGTCTGGGGAATCAGGAGATTCTTTATATCTCTGCCTCTAAAAAAATATATTTTTACTTCTCAGTGTAGAGGATTAACATCCCTCAACTAGGTGATACTATTTCAATAACAGACCTTGCGAAATACCCCAAAATAAATATATTTAAAAAAATTTGTCAGGTAAAAAATGCTACAGCATAATAAATAAAATCAACAATAACATTTTAAACAGATTTTAAACTGTAAATAACACTAGCATAAGGAAACAATAAAATCATCCAATTGTTTTTTTTTTACACAGTTATATACGTTATATAAACTTTTTTATCACTTTACCATACAATATCCAACTTACCCCAAACTTCACACATTTGATAAAACTCCTGGCTTGAACACATCTAAAGGCCAATATCCAGTCAATCATAGCGCCACCTGCTGGCAACAATAAATTACTTGTTTTACACTAACTTAAACATTCACTGTTCAATCTACACCAAACTAAACAAATTTGATAAAACTCCTGGCATGAAGACATCTACATGTCAATATTCAGTTATCATACCACCACCAGCTGGCACGAAAAAAGCAGAAAGTTTATCACATGTAAA